GGTTGGATTTTCAAAATTTACATTTAATATAAAGTTATTGAGCGGTGTAACACTTAGTAAAAGTTACACCGGTATTATAACCCTTCTCTCTCTCTCTCTCTCTCTCTCTCTCTATATATATATATATATATATATATATATATATATACTTTTGATTCTTTAGCCGGTGGTCCTAGGACACTGGTTAGTATTTTATGTTTTTTAATATGTTGAGCTTAACAACCCTTCTTTTTGCAATATGAAGGATGCACTCTACGGCAACATGCCACAATTGTTTATGGACACAACAAAGATTGGAAAGCCCCCTTCTCCAGACGTGTCTTAAACAGCTAGAGGGATAGAAGGATTTTTTAGATGGAAAGTCACATCGGAAAAGAGTAGCTTTGTTCTGGCATTATAATCTACATTTAAATCTTCTGACTACACGGACACTCCATTGGGTTGTTCGTGGTGCAGTCGGTAACAGTTTGACACAATCTTTGTGCCATTGTTGATACTTGCATAAAAATGTACAAGTATTTTCTAATTTCATCAATTGCAAAATGAAGCTGATGAACATTCTGCAACATGTTGCGACTTCGGATATTTTTGGATCTGTTATGCCCTCGGATGATTAGATATTTACAATAGACTAGATATATACAATAAACTGCATATCCATCTACAATACTCTAGAGCAGAGAAAACGTTATTGTGATCTTTTCCAGGACTTCTTAGTTCTAGAATGACCCTACCCTCTGACATTATCAGTTATTCTGTTGCATAGCGGCTAATTTCCATTGGAAGTGGACACAGCACAACTACACAAGGCCTCTCTAATCCAACTAGAGCGAAGCCGAATGTAGCAACACTACCCGAGTATTAATTTGGATCAGAATGTGTACCTTAGGATCCAGATTCTCTGACTTAGTGGCGCTCAATCATTTTAAGCCGTGTGATTATAAAAATATGTAAGATTTTGACACGTAGACAATAAACATTTGACCATAAATAAAATGTTTTAACTAATAAATATTAAATATTTTAACATATATTAATTTATGTATTCAAAAACTTTTCGGAAACGTAACGCCAAAGCTTCTCCATACAAAATAGAAGTTTCATCTTCTTCTCCAACATACTTTCGGAAACAGCTGCAAATGCAACATCCCCTTTGGGACTGCCGCTACAAAACACCTGTCTCTACCGCTACAAAACATCCTCCTGAAGAACTCATTTTATACGCGGAGCAATTTGGTAATTAATTTTGAATTTTTATTTAATATTTTTATTAGAATATTTCCTCTAAATCATATTTTCTATCCACAAATCTCAGCACTAGAACTTTATTTAAGAATTTGAGCTTTGTTTTACTCATACTAGTCGCACGTTGCTATAAGAAAATAGTACTTGTTTTGATATATTATATACGTCTGTTGGATTTGAGAACTTTTGTTGTTATTAAGCTAAGAATAATATGTAAATAACTTGGTTTATGTTTTTATGTGGCTCAAGTTCTGAAATTAATGTGCATGCATAAGTAGATATATGTGACATGCTATGTTAGAACATGAGCTTTTAACATAGCTCATTTTATACAAATTCGAGATATTAAATTTATTTTGTTTACGTCTCTTTAGTTTATAGTTATATGATAATGAAATTGAGGTGCTTGAATGTACAAATATAAAATCAAAGTTATAAATTTTGTTTACTTCTTATTCTTATTTTTCATTCTTCTGATAGGAAGTATATTATGGAATCTTTAAATGTTGATTGGAAACCAAGAGTGGATATGGAATTTGATAATTTAGATGCAGCTTGACAATTTTGGCTTGCTTATGGTGCACATGTTGGTTTTGGAGTTAGGAAACGATATGTGAATTTTAAAAAAGATGGTACTGCTACCTCATGTAGATTTGTTTGTTGTAAGGAAGGGCTACGATTAATAGACAAAAGAGATGTTTTGGTTAGAAAGCATAGAGCTAAGACTAAAACTGATTGTAAAGTAAGAATTTCACTTGTGGTGAAAAATGAAAAATTTATCATCCATGAATTTATAGAGGAACATAATCACCCTTTGCAACTTCCAGAAACAACGCATATGCTTGCATCACATAGAAAGATAACTGAAGTCCAAGCTTATGAGATTGATTTGGCTAATGACTCTGGATTAAGGCAAAAGTCAACATTTCAACTAATGAGTACACTTGCGGGCCATAGAGCTAATATTGGATACACACGCATAGATGTTAAAAATTATCTCAAAGCAAAAAGACAAAGGAGTATGGTGTATGGTGAAATAGGATGCCTTTTACAATATTTTCAACGACAATTGTTGGAGAACCCATCTTTTTTCCATGCATACCAAATGGATATAGATGAACAAATCACAAATGTATTTTGGGCTGATGCAAATATGATATTGGATTATGGGTATTTTGGTGATGTTGTGTCATTGGATACTACATATTGTACCAATCGTGCAAATAGGCCACTTGCTTTATTTTCCGGTTTCAACCATTATAGAGGTATTGTCATTTTTGGAGCAACATTATTGTATGATGAAACAACTGAATCATTCAAATGGTTGTTTGAGACATTCTTAGAAGCACACAATCAACAAAAACCTCAAACTATCTTTACTGACCAAGACCAAGCAATGGCTAAGGCACTTTTTGAAGTGATGCTCGAGACTCGTCATGGTTTATGTACTTGGCACTTGTTACAAAATGGAATTAAGCACCTTGGTAATTTGATGAAAGGAGGAAGTTATTTTTTAAGAGATTTCAAAAAATGCATGTATGACCTTGACACTAAAGAAGAGTTTGAGATAGCTTGGAATCGATTAATAACAGACTATAGTGTTCATGATAATAACGGGATTAAATCAGTTTATGCCATAAAAGAAAAATGGGCATCATGTTACATGAAGGAAATATTCACACTTGGGATGCGAAGTACTCAACTTAGTGAAAGTTTGAATTCTAATTTCAAGTCTTGCATGAATCCAAATGTGGATATTATCCAATTCTTCAAACACTTTGAACGAGTTGTTGAAGAAAAGAGATATAATGAGTTAACTTATGAGTATGAGTCTTTGCATAAGCTTGCAATGTTGAGATATGAGTTGTCACCAATACTCATACAAATGGCAAAAGTATACACTCACATTGTATTTGACTTATTTCAAAATGAGTTTAAACTTTTCTTGGCTTCATGCATATTGGAGAGAAATGAAACCCACTCTTTATGTCAATATGTCATCACTAGGGTCAATCACGAAGGGTCTTGGAGAGTCTCATTTGATCGTGCTTCAAACTCCATAACTTGTAGTTGTAGAAAGTTTGAAACATTTGGCATACTTTGTTCACATGCATTGAAAGTATTTGAAACAAATGATGTTAAGGTTATTCCCGAGAAATATATTATAAAAAGATGGACAAGAGAAGCCCGCAATGGCATTGTGCATGATGTGAGGGGAAAAGAAGTTGAAGGAGATCCAATATTATCTAGTACAAGGAGATATAAGCAACTTGTATTTAAATTTGTTAGATTGGCTGCTGACGTGTCAACATTTGAAGAATATCACAAGATTGTGGATAACAATGTAGATGTCATGTGTAAGGAGATTCAGGAGTTGCGTTTACAAGCCAAAAGTACTGGTAATCACAACAATGATAATCTCATATTTGTCAGTGATGGTGGTAAGCTACCAAAGGGATTCAAACATAAACCTGGCTTAAAGAGAAATAAGCGATTAGAAGGTTGGGTTGAGCTTCAATCCAATAGGAAAAAAAAACTTCAAGTAAAGAGTCACAGGTGTGTAAATTGATGTACATATTAATTCTTAATATATTTTAGCTTTATGAGTTCTCACTTGTTTTAATTTTCCATATTGGTTTTAGGATAAAGAATTGAGAAGTCATCAACCCAACATGGTATCTTGTTCAGCACCACCAACTTTTAAGCTCCCTAACACATTAAAAAATCAATTTAGCTTTACTGAATTTTTGACGGTAATATCATTTGTCTTTATATTTTTTATCTTTCAATTCTTTTGCTTACTTATAAACATGTTAATTAATTTTTGTTATTGTGCAGGCACCTCTTGATGATATAAACAGTCAATCATTACATAACATGTCTCCAATCCTTGATTAAGATTCAATGAAAATAACTTAGTTGACAATGATATTATAATTAGGTGTTACTGTATGTTTGGTGTATTTTGATATCATTGATAAGAGTATTATAATTAATTAGTGTTTTATTTTTCTTGGGTATATTTTGATACCATTAAGTCAATGTAACCATACAGTTCACTTTTAAGAACTGCTTGAACAATTAACATTGGTGTTGGCCTTGTTGTTGTTATAATGTTAGTAACAATGTTTTAGCTTAATTCATTTGTAGCTTGATTTTGCAAAATGCTTGTTGCATAATATTAATTAGAATAAATGTTTTCTGCATAATGATTTTTCTGCATAATTTATTTGCTCATGAGTTTACATAAACATTGTTGGATGCTTAATTAATTTTTCTGCATATATAACTGTTTGGAGAAATTAGGAGTGACAAATTTTTTTGTTTAACTAAGTATGTATTTAATCAAATACCACTATGTAATTCTCTCGATTGGTGTAATTTTAGATGAATAGTTTTTAGTTGAATTAGGTATGCATAATTTATTTTTTCTACTGATATGATTATTCAATTTTTGGTTCTTTATTTTCATTTTTATTTAGATTTAAGATTTGTTATTTTGATAAAAAAAATTTATTTCATTATAATGTATACATACACTTTTATTTTATTTTTTATTCATATTGTATTAAAATATGAGTTAATTTATTAGGTACTATAAAAAAAACAAATGACAAATAAATAATTTTAATGTATATTTTTTTATAATTCATTTTAATGTATAATTTTTAAAAAAGACACTGAAACGATTAATTTGTTATCGTTTATTTTTCTCATATTTAAAATTTGAAAATTTTTGGTTTTGTTTTGCGACAGTGAAAGTGTAATAAATGTAATAATTCATGTTATTGAGTTTCAAGCCAAAAATCACAAATCAAGAGATAAAAATTAAATTAAAAAAAGAAAGAAAGAAAAAAGAGTTAAGATCTTCTAAATATGTAATAAATGTTATTTATGTTCATATGTTTACTATTTATGATTACGTGTCAAAATCTTATGTATTTTTATAATCATACGGCTTAAAATGATTGAAAGTTATGTAACTTTCGCGTCACTAAGTCAGAGAATCTGGATCCCCTTGGACATTGTTGGGAACACTAGAGAGGACACCATGTCAAAGCCGTTTGCATGATCAAACTATCGACCCTAATACCGATTGTTGGAACACAAGAGACATTAAATACATGAGAGACTTTCATCACAGATAATGAGTAAATCACAAAAACAAATTTAACACCATATTTTAACTTAAAATCTTATGACATCATGTCAATGGATCTTTCTCATTTATATATTTGTTAACCTATCCAACTATATCTAATGTGAGATTTTCATTTACACTTGTACACCAATATTCATTTACACTTGTACACCAATAGACGTGGGTGATCTGGAGGAACAATTAGTTATTTTTACTTTATTTTTTGAAAGGAATCTCAAAAGAATG